CATAGCCCCCCTGCCCACCAGCTCCCCCTTTCTCCTTGGGGGACCCATTGATACCCAGGCACTGAGAAAGCAGGAAAATCAGATTTTATTGATGAATGCATCTTTCCAAGGAGATATCAGCATCCCCCAGCCCAGAGCCTCAGGGGGAAGTTGGTTTCCTCCAATGGTTAATAGGGGAAGCTTAATAAATGAATGTTGATACTAGAGAAATGGAAAAGTTATAAAAATACTGCAGATCTTGGAAAATTATGCAGGCACTCGAGAAGGAGGAAGAAAGCAGAGGTGGCTGGGGCCACGAGGGGGGAAAGCCCAGTGGGAAGGCAAAGAGCAGCTCCAGGGGCAAAGCCATCACATTACCCCACCTCGAGTAGAGGCAGCGCACCTTCCAGCCCTTCCACGAGGGGCCCAGGCTGAAGAAGATGCTCATAGGAGGGGGGCTCAGTGCCTCCCAGGGGAGCTGGGGAGAAAGAGAAGGAGGGAGATTCAGCCGGCAATAAGGCACTGGAGTTGAAAGGCAGCTCCATGCAAGAGTTCAGCGAGGGACCATGCTGCCTGCCTCTCCCCTCCCATGCAGAGGAGAGAGAAGAAAGGAGCACAAGTAGGAATGATGAAGGCATGTGGAAACATTCCCTGCACAGGGGAGCTCTCTGGCCCCCCACCCTGGGGCTGGTGGGTGAGCCCTGAGCAGGTGCAGCCCTGGCTCCCATGCCAGCCGGGCTCCTCCAGGCACTCTGTCTGTGCCCTGGGCACAGGTGGGAAGGTGGGCTGGGTGGTGGAGTTGCTGGTACGGCACCAGCGAGCGGGGGCTGGGTTAGTCCCAGCGTTCTGGGTGCAGGCAGAGCTCTGGTCCAGCCCAGGCAGCCCTTCACTAGAGGCAGACTGTCTTAAATAGGAGCAGGCAGGTGGCAGTCTGTGCGGTGAGTGGCAGGAGGGTGCAGGGCTCAGTTCTGCTCCTCGGCCTGCAGCTCCTAGGGCAGGAACTTGTACTGCTGCTGCTGGATCACGGCCAGCTTCTTCTGCACCTCCTTCAGCTCCTGCTCCTTGTGCAACATTTCCTCTTGGGCGGCAATGATCTGCAGGGAGAGAATGGCAAGCACCCCAGGGTCACAACTGCCTCCATTGGGGATGGCTAGAGTCTCCGCCATGGCAATGCCGAGCACAGAGCCAGGCTCTCCACACAGCCTCTCATCACAGCTACAGCCTCCCTAGGCTGGCGTGGCCCCGGGCATGAGGGCTACTGTCCCTACAGTGGGACTGTGATCCTCTGGATATAACGGGGAGCAGTAGAGCTCCCGGGGCTCAGCCCCACATGCCCTGTGGAGGGTCTCAGCTGCAAGCCTGTGGCTAGGAGGCAGTGCTCAGACCTGTGGCAGCCCATACCAGGCAGCTCTCACCCCTTACCAAATACTCTGCCTTTCACACGTGTCCTGGACACTAGGATGGTGCAGGCACCACACCATGAGAAGCCAGGGCATTATGCTCCTGGGAGCGTGAACAGTCACTGGCTATGCCCGCTGCTACACATGGCAGGACAAGGGTGAAGCCACTGTGTTTAACTGGCACTGGGTGGGATGGGTGCACCCGCACCATTTTTTTGAGGCTCTCCAGAGATGTGCCCTGTGCCAGTGGGTGGTAGGACATGCTCCTGAGATGAGTGCACTCAGGCTGTGGTGGTAGTTAGAGCCACCCCTGCTCCATGAGAGCGGCCCCACTCCTCACCTGTGCAATTCCCCCGACCATCTTCTCCTTCACCACCACCATCTCGTCACGGTCCTGGAAGGCAGCCGCCTTCTGTGCTACCTTCACCAGATTGTCCAACACTCTCTTCACCACATTGCTGGCAACCTGCAGCGGGGAAGAGGGGGAGCGGCAGAGTAAGTCCCAGCCCCAGGGCACAACTGCTGCTTGGGGGGGGTGTGAAGGAATCCCTGCCCCAGGCCAGGCTGGCAGGCAGGAGAGGCAGCTGGGCATGCTGGGAGCTGCAGGCAAGGATTCTTTTACATGGCTTGCTGCTGCACTACTGCCACCTGCTCATGACCATTTCAGGCGCTGCTGCTCCTGGGCTCTGGCTCCCATCTGAACTGGGGGGGCAGGGACTGGGGGGCAGCCCCACTGACCCTCCCCTGTCCTTTGCCCTGAGGGACCAGCGCTGGGACCCCATGTTAACCCCCCAACACATGAGCATTAACCTCTTGTGTGCCATAGCCTCTGAGGATTAAGAGTGCTACAAAACATGCCCCCCCAAACATTAACCTCTCAAATGCCAGGGATCCAGTGCACACATTTCAGGCATTTCCATGCCATTTCATCAGCCCTGAACGCCTGCGGGCTCAGCAGCCCAGCATCACACATATGCCCAGCACACAGCAGCAGTAAAGTCCAAGCTACCTGGAGCCTGCACACCAACAAACTCCCCACTGATACACACAGGCAGGGACCGTGAGCCTTGGGGAGACACCTCTGCTGTGGAGGGCCCCACCCTGAAGTCCCATGTGTCCTCACCCAACTCCCACCCACCTCTCAAGCAGCCAGGAGGAGGCAGCTGGGGCTGGAGGGCAGCCTGGGACTCACCTGAAGCCGCTTCATGGCCTCTGAGTTGTGGTCAGCCTTCACCTTGCAGGCCACCAGGAGCTGCCCTGTGAAGGCAGCCACCTGCTTGGCTGACGAGATGAGCTTCTCCTCACTGGCATGGCCCTGCACCGCTGCATTGGTAGCTTCACACAGGTGGTTGGTGGCAGCAGCCACCATGTGTGCCTGCGACGAGAGAGGCTGTCGGGGGGATGCAGGAGCCTCCCCTGGAGAGGATATGCCTGGACTGGCCCCAAAGAGGTTGTGGGACATGGGATGGGGATGACCAGCTTCCATGCCATATCTCAGCTGGTGGGAGAGGGAACAAGAAGCAAGCCTGCTTCTTCTATGGGAGAAGTGCAAAGGCAGAGCATCCTCATCTTTGCAGTAGGAGCCGAGAGGAGAGTCCCCCCCCATCCCATGGGCATGACCTTGATACTTACGGCTGAAATGAGTCCCTGGGACCACTATCCATCATCCACTGCATTGGCAGGGATGGCACTCATCTGTGAGGCAGGAGAGGAGGAGTGAAGCTCATTGCCCTGCACACCCCTTGCCATGGAGCCTGAGGGCTGCAGGCAGCTCCGGGAGAAGGGAGAGCCCACCATAGCTCTAGATTTTCTTACCCCCTTCCAAGCCCTACCTTTCCTTGGGCTGATAATTCTCGCTGGGCTGCTGAAGCTGCCTTCACCAGGGTGCTCATGGCTGCAGCAATGGATTTGGAAGCTTCCAGGATCTGCTCCTCGAAGTTCAGGCTCTCATCTGCTTGCTGCAGCCAAAAGCGGGGTGTAAGTCCCAGGCAGGGGCGCTGGGACAGACAGGACAGAGCAGGAAGATGGCTGTGGAGAGCCGAGGAGGGCACATACAGAGCTAGATTGAAGGCCATGGGGTGCAGGCTGCCTGAGGAAGGTCCAGCCAGGGATGTGGGAGGCAGCAGGAGTGCAGGAAGAGAGACTAGCTATTGGATGGGGCCCTCCAGGTGGTAGGTGGCTTTCTGAAACCCAGAGACAGCGAACCCCAATTCACATCCAGGCACCTCCCCTGCAAGGTGCACGCTGCTCCCCACAAACCCATGCTAGACCCACAGCCCCTGCTGACCCCTTACTGTACCTTGCAGGCGTGCGGCATATCCGCAATGGCACAGTGGCTCAGGTTTGCTGTGGTGATGACCTCCTCCTGCCGACACGAGTTGCCAGCCCCCAC